GAAGCACAAAACGGAGTCAAGTGACATTTCAAGCGTTTCAGTCCCAGGTCACGTCTTGAGAAAATTGCTGAAATAATGGAGGGGCATTTTTCAAGCAGAGCTGCAGCTCCAACAGCTATGTTTACTTTAACGCTTCACTAGTGACTTCTGATTGGTTGTCATGACCTCATCTCACTGTTGCACCTAGGATGTTGCAACAGTGACATATACATACCCTTCTTGTGAAAAAGATAAGAATAAACACAACATACATCTTTCAGAAAAGATGAATGGACAGTGGTTTGTCCATTTTAACCATGGATTGATGTAGTTTATAGATAAAACACTTTGGATTTCATTTCCCTTGAGGATGAGCACCTATCTTCTTTCAGACCAAGCAGATAGAATGCTGAACTTGAAAAATGTGATTGATAAATCTGTGTAAAATGATCTCTTACGGAGCCTTGCCTGAAGACCAAAACTGATAATTCCATAGGTCAAAGGATTCTACTCTGGCCCCTGACCTCTTTGGTCACATGTGGCTTTGCAGTACTGCAGGTTAATATGCAAAGCTGAGGACTTTCAGCTGATTTTTTATTTAGCCAACCACAAGAGATTTGAGAAGATGTAGAATTTGCTCCTATTTTGCATTTTCCTTAGAATTGGTAATTAATAGACAAATTAACTTGGATAAATCTTAAGTTTTAGCAAGGTTTCATTTGGGATCAAAAGTACCTTCTGTTTCTGGCCAGGCTTTTTAACATTGTATTTATTTGTAGAATCTTCTTGATAAGTAACATTTTTGGACTGATTTTATTTCTTAAGCAAGTTCTCCTCTTTGGTTCTTTGTGTTTGGCATCACCTGTCTGTGTTAGATCTCTGACCTAAGCCATCATTTGTTGATTGAATGATACATGAACTATCATTTATTAGTAAGTGCATCTATAGACTTCAAAGTAAAGGAGTCTTATGTATTCTGCTTAAATCACAGCAAGCACTTGTGCTGAATAAAATGCTACATCTAGCAAGAGAATTTTGAGGGTTTCTGATTAAGATCCTATGGCTTATACCTTCTAAAACACAGGTCTGATCATGAAACTACAGTTATAGCTATAAACGGGTAGAAAAATAGCATGAGGTAAATTAAACAGATAAAGCTTACTTTTACCAACATCTGTCCTCTTGATCACCTTCTTGATCTTCTGCTAGACTGTGTGATCAAACAAAAGAGTTAATCAACAACTTTATGTATACTTTGTCTCTTTAAATGTTGGATATTGGAATTGAATTGAGTGAATCATTATGAAAGATGCCAGAAGTTTTATTTATTTAGTTGTAAAATGTTAGATAATAGTCTGATCATTTTATCTTGTAAAGAGAACAGAAGTTTCCATGTATATTTGAAATGACCTAACTTCATCTTAGGAGAAGTTTAGCATGCTTAAGGAATAATTACATTAAAAGGAATACTTCAATATAAAATGTTTAATGTTCTATTCTAAGCATGAATTATGGAGGTCTTATTAGCGTGGCACTACACAGTTCTTTTATGATATTATATTTGATGCCTGATTTTATAGAGTAGTTTTGTAAAACTTTATGGGTACATTTGTTAAAGTTCAAACTAAGATCTCTCTTATTTCTGTGTGTACTGATTGAGTTACTGGGAATAGAAAGAATTAATTTTTAAAATGCTATTTATTCTGATTTTTAATATATAAATTGATGTCATTCTACTTAAAATAGTTAAATTTAACTACTGATATGTTGTCTGTTTTATTTACTTTGATTGTTTGCTTTGACTCCCTTAGTTTCCATATATTAGTGTTGACATGGCAAAAATCTTTGTAGCTTTATTACGTAAAAGGATTTTGTAGACAATGTTTATACGTGACAGAAAAGGAGGAAAAGAAAAATTTGACTACATATCTTTGGGTGAGGTAGTTAACCTTATTTTGTTGCCCTGGTTTTTCTTACTCATTATAACATGGTTATGAATGGTCTCTGTGAATATTGCATTAATTAATTTATCTGGAAATTTTTAATTGAAAAATGTAAGTTTTTTTATGGAATGGTAATTGAATTTGCAACAAAGGCGTTTATTAAAATTAGCTTCTGCAGAAAATGTTCCTGAATATTTCTGATTGTTATTCCACTAATTAAACTGGAGGTGTGAAATATCTAAATGATAAAATATTTTGCAAATAAATCAGATGTTTAAAGAGTTACATTTGCTGTTGAAATCTAAATGATAAAAAATATTTAATTGATTTATATAGTGGTGATTTTAAAATAGAATCATTTTTCATCTGTTGATGCCTTGGTGAAAAATTGACATTGTGTCTTTATAAAATTGAACAAATGAGTCATGTAATTTTCAGTTACATAATCAATAACTTAGACAAAGACTGCTTCTTTGATGATTTATGTGTTTCTGATTTTTATACTTATTTAGATGGGACATATCAAACTTCAGAGTTTATTTAAAATCAAGTAGGCACAATAATTTTTCAATCCATGATTTCCAAAAATAGGAGTAAAAACTTCTGCTCAAGTCAACCTGATATTATGAAGCTATTATTTCTAGTGATTAAGGTATTAACTAGGGTAATAGTTTTGTCATTTTTGGTGACTATAAATTTTGTTTAAAGAGTTTACCTTTATTTGGAGTTTATTCATTATGCAAAGATGATGTGCATGTTCTGTCAATTTATTAAAGTCCCACTTTGTTACTTTGAGTTTGAAATTTTTCATATTATCATTAAAATGTAATATATCTCTATTTTCATCTGTAAGGCCTCTAAGATTCTATTTTGATCTTGCTAACTCTAACTCTTGTATGTATGACAGGCTGTGTGTGTGTGTGTGTGTGTGTGTTTAAAGTTCAATTCACTGAGAGAAGGCAGGGAAGAAACATGGCAGGAGACCACTTACTCACGGTACAGAATCTAGTAAGGAGGCAATTTTCTTTTTGGCCTATGGTGACCTTTTTTGACTATGTTCCTTACACCAGAGACAGTGTACTGAATGCCTCTATTTCACCCTGTTTAGCAGAGTGCAACAGTGTTCTTTAACTTACTTTTGGTGGGAGGAGAAGGTATAGCTGAAATTTGAGAAGGGCGTGAAAAGTTGTAAGAGGCACAAGGAAGAGGGGTAGGAACTTCCTTCAAATGTGATTTTAATAACTAGTCAAGTGTGTCCAACTGTAGAAAATCACCAAGTGACAATATGTCTACCTGACAGTGATCACAATGAATTACAAGACTTTTGAATAGCTATACAGATTAGAATAAAGCAGAACCAAATAAAATATCTTTTGTTGGTATGGTGAAACTTTGACTTACCGGCTAAGAAACTTTAAAAAAAAAAAAAAACCTTCTCTTGTGCTCTGATGTAGAACATTTAAATTTAAAATTTTGTAAAGTGTTTTACAAGCCCTTCATAAAAGACGCATTTATCTAAAACTTTTATTTGAACATGTGTCGAGGAATATGTGGTATTTTGTTAATCAGTTTGGTAGATATTATTATATAGTTTTTAATGGATGTAAGACATCTATATCTTAATTAACAGTCCTATGACTAAATTGAAACTTTAATGATCTTAAAAATCTCCAAACGATATCGTGGTTTTATATAATAATATCAACTGATTGGGGGGAGAAATTGAAACAATCCCAATGAAGTTGTAGTTGTATGTAGTCTGTGAAATTAACTATTAAAAAAGCCAACGATGTGTAGCAATGTAGCATATTTAAAATAAGATAATTGAGTCTATGCTAATATTGACTTAGTATTACACCTCCCAGTTTTTAAAATCATCTTATATTTGGTTTGGCAGAAAAGAATTAAACTTTAAACCTGATATAGGATTCTACAGTTGTAGCTTTGAAAAAAGTATGTGTTTTTTTTTTTAAGGATGAGTTTTTAAGCTTTATTTTTCATAGCTCTTATATTTTTATACATAATATAATACATATTTTACGTATGACCTTACAAGATTTTACAAGACAAAATTGGGACACCCACAGTACAGAATTGAATAGAAAAGACAAGGTATAAATAGCTTCAAAGATTTGTGTTGCACATGCTTGTCAGTGATAATTGTTTAGCCCTCTCCTTTTTCTCATGGTTAGATTATTTCATCAGTTATAACATAATATAAATGCCGAAAGTTTCCTTAATTATAACCATAGAAATATTTGCTTTGCTAGAATTAAGTCAGACAGGAAAAAACATGTTTTAAAAACTTAAAAAGAAGTTTAATAGCTCAATAAGCTGTGTTTTAAACGTTGGAATTTGTTTCCTGGTACTAGTCCTTAATAAAGAGAAAATTTTATGGTAGTTGAAAAATGAAAGAAATTTCAGGATTAGAGAATTGCTTGCATATATTATAGTAAGACATTGGTTTATTTGGTTTTATGATTTATGTGCCTTTCTGAAAAAGAGAGATGAAAAAATCCAAGATGCACAGGTAGACATTTTGTGCTCCTGATAAAAAATGGAAATTTGTAGACTGTTTACTTCTTATTAATTGTTTATTCTTTTCTAAGTTCAAACAAGTAAAAAATACTCATTAAACTGCAATTGTAGTGGAATGAAAATCCAACAAAATGTGATTAGAATTATAAACTTCAATTTCAAAGAAGTTATATTCTCAAAATATGTGTTATAAATATTAATGTGGTTTGAAAGTGTACTTATTATTTGATAATTTATTTCGATCACTTTTGGGGTTCTGGGAGATCTGAAGTACTTTTTTTTAATTTAAGCCTTATGGTTTTAATGTTACAATTATGTCTTTTTGATCTTATAATCTGTGCTTATTTACACACACAATACAGGCAAATAATTTTAAATCAGTTTGTGTCGGAAAAATTAAAACTAAAATCTTTTATAAAGAAATATTTTAGTGAACATGAAACTATATTAAATCACTTACTATGAGATTTTAAGAATGTTTTTATGAACTGAAGTGGTTTCTAAGATTAAATTATGCTGCCTTTTGTGCTTTCAAAACAGGAAGGATATGGAGTAATAGTACTGAATCCCAATGAAAACTATATTGAAGTAGAAAAGCCGAAGATACATGTACAGTCATCTTCTGAAAGTGCTGATGAACCAGCAGAAAAGAGGGAAAGAAAAGATAAAGTCTCTAAAGAAACAAAGAAGCGACGTGATTTCTATGAGAAGTATCGTAACCCCCAAAGAGAAAAAGAAATGATGCAGTTGTACATCCGAGTAAGTAATACGTAAGATCATTACTTTATTTCATTATTCCCTTTGCTTTGTTTATGATTGATTTTCTATAAATTATTTTGTTTAATTTTTTAAAATGAACCGTTAATTTTTAAATTTTTAATGATTTATTTATCAAGGGTGTTACTTGAATGAAATGTTTTGTTTTTTATGCTGTTACAAAATGCATCATTCTTATTTCAATGTGATATTTTATTTAAGTCTCAAAAGCAATTAATAATACACTGTACAAAACATCAGTCTTCATCTTGGGTGGTGATAGTTTTAATGTGTTGTTTTCCTACGAGCAACCATCCACCCACAATGTCTCAGCTCATCTTCTGAAGGCTGATGGAGAGAGGAAGAGTAATTAATATCTTACTAAATATTTAAGCAAGAATAGTTTAGGGATAGTGTAATGAGGGAACTCTGTCCTTTGCTCTTTTCTTAACCAGTGAACCTTTGCACTTTGTAATGCTAGCAGCATGGGATCGTTACAGCAGTGCTGCCCAAGGAGTTCTAATTCTGTAGGGGGCACAAACAATTTTACTTGCCCTTTGACACATTCTGCTTGATATACACACTGTGTGTTGTGTATATGAGATGGATTCAAGCAATTTTCAAAGCTCTTATTATTGATGCCAGAAATATAGTTTAATAGTAAAGCATGTCAGAAATGCTATTGGGTAAGTAAAACAGTAAATTGATTATGCTCTTCAAAAGTGAGCAATTCAGAACATTTAAATATAGACAGATTAACAATTTACAAATTATACTGTGAGATAGTATTAAAGTTTTAGTTATTCAACTAGAGCTATTTTACATTTACTTTAAAAGCTCTTTAATAAAATATTTCATACCACTTCTGAGGTGAAATATATAACCTTCTAAGTTATTTTCTTTAATTTACTCATCACTATACTTTTGTAAACTCTACTCCAAACATTCATTTGATTATAGATCAGTCTGTTGAGTGAATTATGATGGTTAAGCAGCATATAAATTCTCAGCACCCAGAAAATTGTATCTGGACTAAAAATACCTAAAGCATGTCATAAAATGAGTCAAGCAGAAGTTAGGCAGATTATTATATTATTATATTATTATAATATTGAAATTTCTAAATAGCATCTCGTTATTTAACGTAGTGTTTGAAAAACAAAAACAGTGATTAGATTTGGAATCCATAAGTAGCTTGCTCTTCTGTGTAGTTCTGTTACTGCCTTTCTTCCCCATGACTGCATCAGGGTCATGATGTCACCTTCTTCTCTATCGGTTGTCCTGAGCGTCCTCATTAATATGATCCAGTCTGTCAACCAGTGTCTTAAGGCAGAGTAAAAAAAAATTACCACTGATATCTAGATTCCAAAAATGAATTGTAGAAGTTTTTGAAATATACAAATCATTGAGTATTCACTTGCTTATGTAAAGTGCAAACAAAAAGTGATTTTGTGTATTAAGTTTTTCATTTCATCTTAAACAGTTTCTTTTATTTGCCTATGATATGTTCAGAGTAAGCATCTATTTCTGACATCTGTTTTGTAAGTTTTATTTTATTTCTTCTTTTCTAATTTCTCTTTATCATGTCACCATTGCTTTGATCTTCTTCTTTTGTTCTCTTGTATGTGTTCATTTTCTTTATTCTGTTTTCACATCTGTTTTGTTTATTCCTGCATCTATTTTTTTCTTACACCAAGCGGGGAAAATCTTTTTATGTTGCTTCAGTAAGATCTCCTCTTTCTTTCTTGTCTCATTTTACTCATTAGTCAAGGTTGTCATTGAAAATACTAAAAGATAAAAATAAACTCATGTAGATAACACAACTTTATACATGATAGTTTTAGTTATGAAGTGGTTGTTTTTCTTAGTAAACACCCTTTCTCTTAAAATCATCCAGAATTGTGCAAAATAGCAGACTTAAGCTGATACTCTTCAAACATACTTCTAGATACTAAGGCATGATCCTGTAGTGGGAAAGAGAAGAATGGCTGATTTGTGTAAGGTACCTTCATTCTTAGGCAGTTTTGGTCCACTCAAGAAGTGACTCGTAGTACCCCATCTTCCTCTGCGTGTCTCCAAATAACAAGTGTTTGTAATTTTCAGACACAGAGTATGTATGTGATGGGGATAGGTTAACTTTTATTTGTGTATTTCTTAACCATTTACATTTTGAAATCAATTATCTATTATTTGGAACAACCCCATGAAGTAAGTAGATCAAATAATTTCATCCTTAATTTTATAGTTAAGTAAACTGATGCACAGATGTACATTTTTGTCTAGGATCATGTAACTAGTAAATAGTGGAAGTAAGTGTTAAAACCAAGACTTCTGATTACTGTAGATTCTTGCTCTCTTTCCTCTTTACCACGTTGTTCTAACTGGTTGAAAATAAAATATGTACCTGAAATATGAATATTAAACTAATTATAATAAAAGCATGATATGATGTAGTAAACTGCATTTTATGATTATATAGATTTTGACCAGTTATCATTTAATAGATACTTTTAAATGTCTATAAACAATTTAGATATAGTATATTTATGATATATAAATAAATTAATAACATAAAATACTATACAAATATATTCTCTTTTAATAGGATCAATAATATTGATCCAGTTTTATAGATGAGGAGACTGAGGGTCAAAACTTCATAAATTTCCCAAGATCACGTAGCTCTTAATGTAAGGTCCCTGGGGTAGTGACTTAGTCTATTTTGCTCATTGCTGTAACCTAGAGCCTAGAACAGAGGCATCATAATAAATATTTGTAGAACAGAGCCTTCACAATAAATTTTTGTTTGATAAATAAGATGGTAGAGCCAGGATTAAAACCCCAAACTACTTCTGCTTTTTCTAATATGTCTTGTTATTATTAAAGTATTCTACTTGATTTTTGATGAGGAAACATTCACACAAACCAAAACAAAGAAAAATTACATTATCAGTCCCCTACCCAATCCAGTAACTAAGACATTTAGAAAATTAAAAACCAGTTTGCCAAGATTTCTTTTATACCTTGATTGATCTAGACATTTGCATCTGAATATATAAAAGTGAGATACCCTGTTTTCTTTTTTAGCTATATCATCATGGTACTAAAATTATGGATGAACATGGAAATATTTCATGCTGACCTATTAGTATTTCTGTTTTACACACTTGCTTATAAGAGTACAACCAGGCTACTGTACTTGCTCTACCCCATATACACTTTGTGCTTTATGGGATCTGTAACTTTACTTTCTTTTCTTAACCTTAATCCAAATTCTATCCATGTTGTAGTGCCTAGCTGAAATCTCCTTCATCCACTCACATCATAATCAGTGACCTCTCCTTATTAAGATTCTTGAAAGTTGTAATGATTAGTTAACTTACATGGAATTTATCAATTGCATTTTGAGATATCTCTTGTATTTTGTCTCACAATATTATTACCAATTTATCTTTCAGACCTTTCCACTGTATCCCCACAATCCTTTAGATCTTTGAGATGCTTTATAGATTTTGGAATTGCATGTCAATCCTTAAGAATAAATAGATATGATCCCATTTTTATAATAGTACAGTGCATACTGTGAGAGATTCAGGAACTGATACTAAACCCACTCACTAGGATCCAATCCCCTGGAAGGAGACCAAAGCAAAAAGACTATGTCTTAGTCTAGAGATAACTTAGATGTGACCTACAGCATAGAAATGAGGGTTATTCTGGTATCAAACTGGAGCATAAGAAGACAGGTGTTCAGACTAAAAAAGATCAGTTAAAGGAACTTTACAGTAAATAAATAGTAAGCAGGTGGAATATAGGCAAAAGTGACTTGATGCTGATCTAAGTTATATTGGGTTGGAACTGCTTGAATTACTCTTCCCTAAGAGACTTAGTTGTGGGCTGTAGTGATAGGAAGTAAAGAAGAGGGATTAGACCCAGAACATTAAAATAAATATATATATACTAGAAGTGGAGGGGAAAAGGAACTCACATGGCCCCAGAAGGAAATACCCAAATGTGGAAGAGACATTTAGAGAACAGGAATCTTGGCAAAGCCTGGCATCACACACTAATGATACTCAGGTATTTATGGATTGATTGCTTGTTGACATCCATCAAAAAACTTATTCCTTAATCGTGAGATACTTGGTGTCTAGTTTTCTGACTGATTTTTTTCAGCATTCCTGTGAATCTTTGCAATTGTTCAGAAACAGCCAACTCTGATAAACTGAAGCTTTCCTTTAGAAAATACATTTTTGATATTCTGACTTGGGCTATGGCCAAAATATTGGTGAAGGTTGATAAATATCCTTTCTTCTCTGTACCTCTTCTTCTAGGTACTAATGCCACTGGAGTCGTTTCTGTCTAGTGATTTAACAACCAGATTCAATCTGTTTGTATTGAAATCAATGACTATTTAACCTCTGAAACCATTTTATTTTCCTAGAATATTCAAGTATCTAATTTTCTTCTTCTGGCATCCAGTAAATAGCCAAAATCTCCTTTGAATTTTTTGCAAATATCTAGTATACACCAGCAGAAGCAAAGTAGAATCCAGGCCTAACTTTAAGATTAGCAAAGTATAATTTTATTTTATTTACTAAATGAGTATAAATAGATATGACTAACTATTGGATTATGTAGCACATTTCTGATGCATTAGGAGCAGAGCTTGAGAGATCAAAGTACTTACTCTTTCATGTGACAACTTTCCTTAACTATGAAATAATGTACTTTCTGGCATATATTATGGCTTATTAAGGGGATTGATTTGGTCTAGGCAATAAACATCATGTCAGACATGCCTGGCAGGAAAACCTGCTTAATATGTTTTGTAATAAGATGGAATTTTTTGTTCTCAAAAACATCTGCCAACTGAATTCAAGAGTGAAGACAGAAAATGTCATCAATTTAGTGGTAATCCTATAAATTTAGTTTCTTTTTGTGCAACACATATCAAGACACACAAAATTCCCAGTGTTAATCACCACTGGTTATAGTACTTT